GACTCGGACTTTGCCTGTCTTGACTTGCGACTTGACACGGACTTGAGTGCAAAGACTTGAAACTTGACTCGGACTTGAGTGCAAAGACTTGAGACTTGACTTGGACTTTGCCTGTTTTGACTTGAGACTTGACTCGGACTTGAGTGCAAAGACTTGAGACTTGCAAAGCAATGCCCTGGTCCCACCTCTGCTACTCAGTCTTACTTTGACTTTATGGAAGTTTCTAGATCTCCGTGACTCCTGAAGCTCTGTGTTGTTTGGTCGAGGTGTTTGACTTTATCGGTCGTGTAAACACTTCTACGGGTTGTTTATCTACGAATGTCGTGGAGATTTCTTTTATTTTATTAGTATACGAGAGTGGCTAATCCTTACACACACACACACACACGTGTGCAAACCATTTGAGTTATTACACAGAGGGGCTCAATGATGGAGCTCAAACACAGGCCTGTTTTGTCCTCTGTAATCACACACACACACACACACACACACACACACTAACTGTATTAATAGGAGTCTGTTTTGTGTCAGGCAGGTCTTAATAGGATCAGTGTGAGAGACATGGAGCTGTCTGTCAGTCTAAGTTCATTAACTGATGATAGATAACCTGCGCTGTGTGCCTGCGTGCGTGCGTGCTCGTGCGTGCGTGTGCGTGTGAATTCTTTTTGGTGTAATTTATAGTCCTCAATCGCAGGCCTTATCAGGTGCAGGACACATGGACACCTCCTTCTGTCCTCCTCCTTCTCCTCCTTCACATCTTTTAAACTCTCACACACTGACCTGTATTTCCTCTCCTCTTCTCCCTGCTCCAGTCCTGAATGCTGAAGGGTTCCTTGTGTAATTGCTGTGCTCCTCATCCTCAGCCTCCTGCTGGACTGGCTTTTATCCACCTCTCCTCCTCAATGGCCTCTGCTTGAAGTCTCATCTCTGCTTGTCTACTCTCTTTCTTCTCCTCTCCTCGCCTCCCCTCTCCTTTTCTCTCCTTTCCTTTCCTTTCCTTTCCTTTCCTTTCCTTTCCTTTCCTTTCCTTTCCTTTCCTTTCCTTTCCTTTCCTTTCCTTTCCTTTCCTTTCCTTTCCTTTCCTTTCCTTTCCTTTCCTTTCCTTTCCTTTCCTTTCCTTTCCTTTCCTTTCCTTTCCTTTCCTTTCCTTTCCTTTCCTTTCCTTTCCTTTCCTTTCCTTTCCTTTCCTTTCCTTTCCTTTCCTTTCCTTTCCTTTCCTTTCCTTTCCTTTCCTTTCCTTTCCTTTCCTTTCCTTTCCTTTCCTTTCCTTTCCTTTCCTTTCCTTTCCTTTCCTTTCCTTTCCTTTCCTTTCCTTTCCTTTCCTTTCCTTTCCTTTCCTTTCCTTTCCTTTCCTTTCCTTTCCTTTCCTTTCCTTTCCTTTCCTTTCCTTTCCTTTCCTTTCCTTTCCTTTCCTTTCCTTTCCTTTCCTTTCCTTTCCTTTCCTTTCCTTTCCTTTCCTTTCCTTTCCTTTCCTTTCCTTTCCTTTCCTTTCCTTTCCTTTCCTTTCCTTTCCTTTCCTTTCCTTTCCTTTCCTTTCCTTTCCTTTCCTTTCCTTTCCTTTCCTTTCCTTTCCTTTCCTTTCCTTTCCTTTCCTTTCCTTTCCTTTCCTTTCCTTTCCTTTCCTTTCCTTTCCTTTCCTTTCCTTTCCTTTCCTTTCCTTTCCTTTCCTTTCCTTTCCTTTCCTTTCCTTTCCTTTCCTTTCCTTTCCTTTCCTTTCCTTTCCTTTCCTTTCCTTTCCTTTCCTTTCCTTTCCTTTCCTTTCCTTTCCTTTCCTTTCCTTTCCTTTCCTTTCCTTTCCTTTCCTTTCCTTTCCTTTCCTTTCCTTTCCTTTCCTTTCCTTTCCTTTCCTTTCCTTTCCTTTCCTTTCCTTTCCTTTCCTTTCCTTTCCTTTCCTTTCCTTTCCTTTCCTTTCCTTTCCTTTCCTTTCCTTTCCTTTCCTTTCCTTTCCTTTCCTTTCCTTTCCTTTCCTTTCCTTTCCTTTCCTTTCCTTTCCTTTCCTTTCCTTTCCTTTCCTTTCCTTTCCTTTCCTTTCCTTTCCTTTCCTTTCCTTTCCTTTCCTTTCCTTTCCTTTCCTTTCCTTTCCTTTCCTTTCCTTTCCTTTCCTTTCCTTTCCTTTCCTTTCCTTTCCTTTCCTTTCCTTTCCTTTCCTTTCCTTTCCTTTCCTTTCCTTTCCTTTCCTTTCCTTTCCTTTCCTTTCCTTTCCTTTCCTTTCCTTTCCTTTCCTTTCCTTTCCTTTCCTTTCCTTTCCTTTCCTTTCCTCTTCTCTTCTCTCCTGTCCTCTCCTCTCCTCTCTCTTCAGTGAATCACCTCTCTTCCCTATCCTCGTCTCCTCTCCTTCATCTCCTTTACTTTCCTTCCCTATCCTCTCCTCTTATAACCGTCCCTTCTTTTTTTTTTCTTCCAAGATTAGATTCAGATTTGAACAGTTTAAACTGTCATCATCAAAATGGGAAAATTGATGTGATTGAAAAACCAAACAAACTGTGAGTTGTTTCTTTGGTGAAACATTTTTTTAACGTGTGTGTGTTTTCTCCCATTGACAGACATGGAAGAGAGAACGAACGCAGGCTCCTGGGCGAGTGGAAGCCGATCTTCTAAGGTGACGACAACTTTTGCTCTACCTTTTTTGTACCCCTACTGGTATACTGAACAAACAAGTCCAAGTAAAAATAATCATTTGAAACCTGCTGACATTCCTTGAAACAATCAGAAAAGTTACATTTATTTACACTATTTTTTTTTTTTTTATGTAATTCAGTCTCACTTGTGTCTTTATTCCCAGGCCTACGCTGATGGATCTCAGTACATGGCATCACATGACAACCTCTCACCACCGTACTCTAACTCCAGGCTAGCAGGTAAGCGTCCACACTCACTGTGTTTGTGTGTGTCTCTCTGGTCTTCAAGTGTTGACCCTCTGGACTAATTGTCCTCAGTGAAACCATGATTGGACACTTGAACTCTCCAGGTCCAGTTGTGATGTGTTTGTTTTATAGATTCAAACGTTTCTGTGTCCCTACGGAGATTTTTGTCTGTTTCAAATTGAAAATTTCAAATACAGTTAACCCAGGAATAAAAAAAACCAAAGGTAAAACAGTTATAATGTCTGTTATAACTGTTTTCCTCTGTTGTTGTTGTTGACTACTGTTGTTCTCTGACTTCCTGTTGTTTCTGAACGAAGTTATGAAAAGTTAGCTTTGGTCGAGAGACGTGGTTTTTAATCATTTTCTGTCATGCCCCCCCTTGTGGACAGAAATGTTTTCACGCCCCGCGAATTGAAATCCTATTGAGAACCTGATAACGTGTATATTTTTATCTGTACAAACCACTGTATGTGTTGCTGCCCCCTAGTGACTGGAGGCTTGTTATCATTCAAGCATTACAGCAGTGGTACACTTATGTCCACGTCCCCAGGGGGTCCCGCCGCACTCTTTGAGAAGTACTGCTCTAGTCAGTTGTCTTTTCAAAACAGCAGTAAAAAGTTAAGAAGGTGAAGAGGAAATGTCACTAACGGATCGTGAAACAAACTTACACTGAATGTCCCAGTCTGGCCGTTTCTCTCTCCTCCTTGTTCTCTCTGAGTGCCAGGCAGCGTCTGCTGATTTACCCATGATGCTCTCTGCCTCTGGCTCTCTGGGATGTGGCGCCAGTTGTGAGCAAATGGCCACTAACACAGATAATCTTCCTCTGTTTTGAGGACACACACACACACACACACAAACTGAGAGCATCATTATCTTTGATTGCATTCATCAAATACGGAGGCCGGCAGATCTGACTCTACCTCAGGGCTGTCAAACTCATTACCACCAGGGGGCCACATCAGCAATACAGTTCCTGTTGAAGGGCCGGTTTTAAATGGAAGACTGTGTAGATCAGGGGTCTCCAACCCCTGGTTCGCAGACCAGTACCAGTCCATAGGTCCTTTGGTACCAGCCCGCAGTGGGACAGAGTGAAAAAATGAAAAAATTCTAATTTACT